CGTCTGGCCCGCTGCCCGCAGGAATGGACCGGGTACTCCCGCCCCGTGACACCGCCGGTGACACTTGTGGAGAATCTCCGCGAAAACCATGACGGCCCTCCCGCGCGGTGCGTCGGAAACACCGACAGACTTTGTCCAGGGTCAGCCCCTAAGGTTCCAGTTCCGCACGATGGCAGAAGCGAGGGCCAGCCGGAGCACGCGGGAGCGAAGGAACGCGGGTAGGAGAGCAATGCTCCCTCGAGACCGCGGCTGTGCGCTTGTACCTGCTCCTTGCACAGCTGAAGCTGCTTTGAATCAAGCGGATTTCTGTGTTTGAAATCCTGTTTGTGCAACTCGCAGAGCAAGTTTAAGAGGTGCAGAAAGTACACAGCAGCCATCATACATACATATATGTGCTTCAGTACTGGGTGACAGTGACACTGAGGGATCATATATCCATTTCATCACAATATAGTATCAAATGCCTCTTCCCAGACAGGTTTTTATCAGTCACACTTGTGAACATCACAGTAAACTTGGGCCCTTCCTTTCAGTACATCATCATGAGGCTTTCTTAATTTTTAAACTCATTTTGAGAATGTATATTTGTGGTTTTGCTGTGATATTGACAAAAAGATCAAGTCTGTCACATGCATGCGCACGCACACAGAGAGCCAGTAGAGTCCTTGTTCAGATGCCAGAGCGGTGATACTTCATTAACACAATACTAAACATGCAGGAAGCTTTCTAGGTGAGAGGACAAAATACGGTTTTAAAGAGGAGATCAACTATATCTCTTGAACGTCTTTCACTGTGCTGAAACTAATCAACTGCATGCTTATTTCAGTGTTCCTGCATCTGCATCTATCAGGTGAGATGGTCTCTAACTTCTGTGGCATGGCTCCTCCCTGTAATAACAACAGGCAGTTCACAACGTGAAGGCTGTAAGGGAAGAGGTCTATTTTAAAGGGTAGAAATTCCACCCGTACTCCATCCTCATGGTATATATTGTATCTGGTTCTCAGTCTAACGGCAACTTGCCTTCCCCTCACTTCCCAAAGGAAAATCACAGTGGAATGTGTTTTTACACTAAGAAGCTTATGGTATC